CGCAGTTGGGGCTTGGGCTCCTTCGAGTTCCGCAGACGAGAATACAAAGCGTTCCCCGCCCTCTTTATACACTAATACTTCCCGCCGAAACTGCGCCTCTTTGGCGGTCGATTACTCCCTGACCTATCACGGGTTCGACCTCCCTCATGCCACAGCGAACATATCCCAATATAATGACCAGGGAATCAACGACGGTAACACCGCAACCATCTCGAGATACCATCAACAGACGCCTGAGAAAGGCTGGATTATACAGGAAAAGACCTGTGAAGAAGCATATTGCCCCTAAAAAACAGACGAGTTCGACCTCAATGACGCGTACACTTCTACACTGGGCCTTCGACCAATAGTGCGGAGTCATCTGAAGCGACCAGTTAAAGTTCGTTTTGTTTTGTACCGATGATATTTGTTCATAAGATGACCTACTAATACAGGGATTGTTCCCAAGTAGCAATCGGCCACTGTCAGGCATGGTGGTAACTCAGTATTGGGTTGATTTTCGAGTCTAGGCGTGAGGCTTCTGCACAATATTTCCACCATTATGGATCAGAGATGTCCGTAGAATGCATGCTACCTTTGGCCCATCATGTGCATATATCGCTTTCTAGCATGGTAACGACGCTAAATACAAATTTAGAGCGATGTGCGAGTGGCTGACTGACTCATCGGAAGATTCAATTTCTGGATTGACCTAGCCAGTCTCCTGGTTTGGACATTGTTGGACCGCTGTGAAAGGGAAAAGGAAAGCCGATAAGAAAGCCACAATTGTTGCTCAGATTTGCCCAGTTGGAAAGAGATTGAAAGAGTACTGGTTACCGCGCGATTGATGAGTTGGTTGAGTCAATGCTCCGCCAATGCCAAGCAGTCATTGATGTCCGCGGCTTTGCAACCGTGTAATGGACTGGTAGCTAATTGATTTTTCATTTCATTTCAATGGAATTCAACTTAGTCAATTTTAGGTACTGTAAAACTGCTTTACTTTGCCTTGTTCAGAAAAATGTGAAAAGTGATCTTCTGGACGAAATATAAGAATTTTCTTGAGTTTTCTCATGCGAACTTTAATTTCAATACTGTTGTTAACATATTAAGAAATCAGCCAAAAACGTCGAGTTCGAGATGTTTTATGGCAATTGGTGTCTATTTCGAACACTGGTATCCTACTTACTAAAAAGACGCTTCGTCTGTCGACTGTCGTCTGTATGTATGTATGTATGTCTGTCACGAAATTCCTTAGCTCCTTTAGATCTGCCTGGAGAGACCGAGTCGAGCGTGGGATGGGTGAGCCATGTCTGAGAAGTATAAAGCGCACATCAGCTTGGCGGAGCCACGCCCACAGTGGGGGTGGCGTGTATCGAAATGAACTGTGCTGAGGACCATGATTTCAAATTCAGTCACAAGACGGCTTCAAAAGTGGGGTTCAAAGGTGGCTAGAAATGTGCGTTGGCGAGTTAGATCGAGCTGGGGAGACCCACTTCCGATGGGCGGGCGTTCTCCAAAAATGCAATGTTTTATGAAAACATTTGTAACTCGGTTTGGAGAAAGCCAACAGAGCAGGAAAAAGTTGATGTGAGAGAAGCATTGTAAAGGTGTCTCAAGCATAAATGACGTCGTCGGAGGTCCGCCCGCAATGGGCGGAGCATGCCTCAAACTCACATCCTTTCTTACATTTATATATCAGGATTAATAACTCCGTTTCCCATGGACCAAGAAAGTCCAAACTTGGTAGGAGTATAGGCGACAGGATGGGAACACTCAAGGTGGGTGGCAGGACCAGACTCCGCCCACAGGAGGCGGGGTTTGAGCGGGGACTCAAATCGGATAAGGGTCTATATTAAAAATCAGCTCATGTGGCTACGTCTCTCATGGCTAGCCCCTAGCGCACGCGATAGCGTGCGTAGCCGCCTGGTACATTAATACATCCAAAGTCGACAATATCATCCAAAAAAACCATAGATTATGCATCAATTTACAGCTTTTTTTCTCTTGTCACATGGAGCATTCATGTGTAGTAGGACATACGATAAGTGTTGCGATTCCATTGTCGAGATAATGGGGCACGCACACGCATATACTCCCACGATATTCAGTGCGTTGTTTATAAAAGTGTAACCGAGACTTGTCTACCATTCTTTAGGAGCAAAGCGTGTTTCAATTGTCGTCAGCAGGGCCATGTGTTGGCAGATTGCCCAAATCGTGATGACGCTGAGATAACCGGTAATATCGTTAGCAGTTACGGAGACGAGATTTGTTTCAAATGTGGGTCTACGGAGCACAGTGTGCACAAATGCCCTCGTAAGCATGTTCAAGGTAAGATTTTCTATGACGATCTTTATGACTAGCGGAAACTTATGCGAAACAAGTCACGATCAGTTACGAATGTAGCTTTACTTTTGCAAGTAATGCGAATATTATGTTGTTGCTTTGGTTAACAAGGTTCTAAAATTTTTTCTCGAGTCGGAGCAGTTTCGGATTGGAGTGCAACCGATCGAGTAGTTGCAACAAGTAATTTTACCGCTGGTCTTCTAATTCATTTTCTTTTGACTGATAATTCAAGATTGCGCTCTTCACAATGGGGGCGAATGTGCTGTGGTCTTGAGACTATGTTATGGCTATCAACCACATTTTGCTTGACTCTCTCTTTGAATTAAATCTCTTTGAATATTTTCAATCTTCGAGAGAATGTTAACATAGACACACCACATGCTGCTGGAGAGAGTGAGCTGAAAGTGGGATAGCCCTCGCATACAGTAGAGGTTGATAATTTTTGTTAATAATTAATCAACTAAGAGAAAACTGCAATTTATGATCGATTGTTGCAGTCAAAGTCATTGTAGAACTCACCTAAGTGGAAGCACGCACCTCTTCATGTTTTTTTCTAATGAAAAGATTTCACAACAAAAGGATGCTGCCAGAGAAATCAAGAGCGCTATCTCCTACGAGATAGTCATTATAAGAACAGCAAACTGGTGTTAACTGTGAAAATCATAGCAGCGGTGAAATCGTTTGCTTGAAATAGCCCGTGGTTCTTTAAGCATGACGGTACTCCACCCCACGGAGCCAAAATCGTGGGTGAGTGATGTAGCCGCCAGTTGACTGTTTAGCAGAATGGCCATCTCGCTCACTCACTTCCCGGCGTGGTCCCCTTTGAGAAGGGAGCATGGCCTGTAGACTGTACCATCTTAATTTGGATTCCTGGAAAGCAAGTTTGGATACGGCCCGTACGGAATGGAAGTGGGATGCATGCGTGCAACTTATGATTCGGAAACAGACTTTGAACCTCTATCCGTTCTAATGGGGGATACTCTGGAATGTGATTGTAAGTTTTTATCCTATTTTATAATATATGCAGCGTGCATATAGGTTCCACTGTTATTCTTAGCTTAGAATCTTAAAATTCATTGCAATGAAAGACGCTCTGAACCTTGGGACACCCTATAAGTAAGTAACTTTAATTATTTCAGTGTGTTATTTTGTTTTCTACAGGATTTCCCTTCGCAAAATGTTTTGTTTGCGGTTGTCAAGGGCATTTATCAAGAGACTGTGAGAAAAACGCTCATGGAATTTATCCAGATGGTTCGTCACTGCCTTTGATGGTCAATTGATATTGGTACGAGCTGACAGTAGTTGTTTCATCTTTACAGGTGGCTGCTGCAACATGTGTGGTTCGAAAAGGCACTTGAAACGTGATTGTCCTGAACTGGCTGGACAAAAACAGCGAAAAGACGAAAGAGGTCTGTAAAGGTTGTGGTTTTCTGTTAATATCGGCGTGAAGTGGAGGTTGTTGAAGGATAAGTTTGACGGTCCCATAGTTAAAGTTGTTTCCTTTTATCGAAAACGATCTCTATTAGTCTGCATTGTACACCAAGTGGTCAATTAGAGCGGGATGGTAACTATCCCTTCTATCCCACGTTTCTTCTTTGCCAATAAGGATTGCGGACTTACTTTGCTACGTAGTTATATCGACATTTTTTACGTTCTTCATGGAGGCAGTTCGTTTTTTGATCCGTAGCTTCCTACTTAATTTAATATTTGGGCTATCCAGGTAAGCTCGTTAAATATTGATTGACGCGGCTGTACCATAAAGATGGCCGTAATTCGAGGTCGAAGGTTCGCACGTTGCCATGGTACTGTTCTGAAACTTTTTCATGTGAGGGCTGACTTTTCCCCACCTGAACATTCACCAAAGTAGTGATTGATGGTTTTTCCCCGTAAGTAATGGTTTTTACTGTATGGAAGAGAGATAAGGTCGCATTACTCGCCAGTATGCAGTAGGTTTCCGAGAACGCAATTAATGAAAAGATCGCGTTCATTTCCATGGACTAGTCAACTTCTTGTTTGTTCCAAACACTATGAGTATTTGAAATATTTGTCTCTCAGTTGGCTCTGATCTCAGATTGACTAAAAAGGCCTGGATTTGAAAGCTGCACCACCAAGAGCTCCGATCATTTAATGTGAAAAAGTAGGTATCTTTAATCTCCGTTTTGATCGATTAGTCTGTAATTTAAGATGATACTAAAGCGACTTAACTTTTGTACTTATCAAGGAAGAAGAAAAAAATTCAATGCAGTAATATCATCATGTTGACGAAAGTAGGAAAGGCAAGAAAATCTGACATTATTTAACATTCAATGTGCTGTTTAGTTCTCAACATGTTTTTTAAACTGAATTAATGTGCTATTTCTTCTCTAGGTGTTTTTTCTAAACTGAAGACCTCATTTGCTGTTCCTCTTTCCTAAACTCGAATACAATTGCCATCAGAATTTGGTGCAGTTCTTATCCTTAAGTCGGCTTAATTGAACTCGAAATGTCCAAAATTTTAGTGAACGACCAAAGCTACTCTAGATTCAATCAGATTATGGGTGGAAAAAGTCTAGAATAGATTTAGTGGAGGCGATCTGCGAGAAAAATTCTGCTCTTTGAATTCATTTTACGCTCTGAACAGAGTATGTGCCGTCATTGAAGAAGCAGTTGAGATAGTAGTATGCGAAATTGAGAAATTAATGATAGTCGCAAATGAAGGAATTAGCGAAGTATCGAACATTCTCAAGATTAGACCGTTTGAAAGTACAGTCAACACTGGGAGCTGAAACAAGGGGATGCTAAGTTCTCGCTATTCTCGTAGTTCTCATGAAAGTGCTCATTTTCACACGTGTATAGTATGCCTGGCTTTGGTGATTGTCATAACAGGATGTCTTATCAGGACCTGAGCTTGAAGATGTGATTCACTTCTTTCTAGGTTATCCCTACGCATCGAAAGGGTGAGGCAATATCGAATAATTGTGGGTCATTCGCGCACTTGTGTCATTGGCGCGCGGTCGGTCCTAATTTGCTCTGCCGAATTGAAGAGCGATTTCGGATTTCCTGTGTTTTATGCTACGCATGCTTCGTCTATCGCTGTATGCTATCGTGTCTGTTATTCTGATTGATCTTACTTCGACTGGGCTGTCACCTCAGCTTCAATTGCTGTTATTCTCAATCTTCGGCCACTACTTGGCGGCGTAATTTCCTACTTCTTTGTGAAGTCGAAATCCCTTGTGGCGGGGATTGCTTTTGTGTCTTGGTTATATTGAGCCACATAAACAGGTGTATTTTTTCCAATTCTGGATTCCTTCTTGGTATTATTTTTTCGACTCTGATTGCTCTGATTGGACTTGCTCCCAAATCGACAGTAGATCAGAATCGATTCGTTATCAATCATGGGTACACCCCTTAGGTCTACGTCTGTCGAGCCTCCA